TAGATATTCACTCATCATCCTTTTAAGTTATAAAATTTTGCTAGCAATTCAAAGCAAACTCATTAGTTTATAGTTTTCAGATTCCACTCTCTTTCCTTTTTAAAAAAGCCAGGACATTTGCCATTCCCCAATCCTGTTCTCCTCTATTTTGTAAAGACAACTGGCAGTGGCTCAGTTCACAATCACCAGTTTTTTCAGAACTGTGGAATGAATCTAGTCATCTAGGCCTTGTGAAATGAATTCCTAAAAGGCAGCTAGATGATCTTTTATTATCTCTTTACTTGTGATGGGTTTTACCTCCCCATTAGCTACTTTGCTTCTATTCTTTCTAGTCTAAAAATCATTCTTTTTGGCAGAAAGAATAGAAACAACATTAAGAGTTAAGTTGTTTCTTCTGTCTTCTGTTATTATTGTTCTATTCCTCTTGACTGATGGTCATGTCTCTTCTTTGATCCTCCTCTTTTCTCTCATCTTTAGCATGTCAGCCTTAGTTCACTGTGAGCTTTAACATTCTTGACACTTTTTACAGAATAGTACTTTGCTTTGTATTCTGTTGTTTGTTCTTGCTTCCTCTCTCTTCTGTACATGGTTTTTTAAAAAAGTTTATGAAGTCCTTCATGAATTTTTAGAAAACTCCTTTTTCATCTGAAATTTTTTTGTCTTTAGATTCTTTATACCTTCCTATCCTTTCTTGGGTGGTTTACCCTTCAGAGTCTTAATCTATAAGATTATATTTGTTCCTTCCCTAAATCTTTTGAAACTTATCATAAATTCTAAGTTGGAAGGTTATATCCTCCCAAGGCTACTGTCATTTTTGCTTGAAGAACCAGTTCTTCCTTGGGGGTGAAAATCAGGTATAGAATATCGGTTCCCCTTTGCTGGTTCTTTTACCTTTTAAAAGATGAAATTATTATGAAGATGAATCAAGAATTCATTAATTACACTGCTTTTGGCAGAAAGAACTGGAGTAGATATTTGGATAACTGCAGTCCCACATTACTACTATGGATATTAATGTCTTCATGCCAGGTTTGTGATCTCCAAAATTTATCTATTTCTTGCTTCTATCGAGGTGTTTTGTGGTATAAATCTAAGATAATATGACTTTTGCATCTTCCTTTACTGATCTTTACCACAATGCTCTCTATCATGCTTCCCTACTCAGGTTCCTGGATTTCCTCTTATGAATATAGTTTCTAAATTTACATTACTACCTCGTCCTTTGCTCCATCCCCCCAATTTTCAGGTTAAATAAGGGTAAATCTGTCTTTTTGAGTTAGGATATTTAGTTCATTTTGCTTTTTACCCATACTTTGTTCATTTGTATACAGACATCTAAAGCCTGAGAGTTCATTTTTTGGGTCCTATCCTCTATAAATTACTGGGTTTCTCTACTTCTGTGGCTCTTCTTATGTTATAAAGATTTTCTGGATACAAAATGAAGTGTATTGTGTACAAAGTAACAGAAATATTGTAGGAAGATCAGCTGTGAATGACTTAGCTCTTCTTAGCAATACAACAATCCAAGACAACTCTGAAGGACTGAAAAATGCTATCCATTCCCAGACAAAGAACTGATGGTGTCTAAATGCAGATTGGAGTGTACTTTTTTAAATTTTTATTGAGGTTTTTTTTTTGGCCTATGTTTTCTTTCACAACATGACTATTATGGAAGTGTTTTGCATGACTACACATGTATAACCTATATAAAATTGTTTGCCTTCTCAATGGGGGGGGTGGGGAAGGAGGAAGGGAGAGAATTTGGAGCTCAAAGTTTTAAAAATGAAAGTTAAAAATTGTTTTTATATGTAACTGGGGAAAAAATAAAATACTCAATAAATAGAAAACAAAAACAAGACTTGCATTCTTAAAAAAAAAAAAGATTCTCTGTGTTATCTACCGTGGTAAATAGACCATTTTCTTCTTCTTCCTTCTTTTTCCATTTAAATTTTTTTAATTAGATTTGCAAGATTCTAGGCAAACTCATTTTTTACCAGCCCTCATTAGGTGTATTCCATGCTTAAAAGCCTATCATTTCTATCTTTTAAGTTTTTATAAAGCACTTACTAAGTGTCTACTATGTCTCAGGCACTGTGCCAAGCACTTTAAAACATTTAATTTGATCCTTACAACAACTCTGTGAGGTAGGTCCTATTATCCCCATTTTACAGTTGAGAAGACTGAGGCAGACAGAGGTTAAGTGACTTGCCCAAGGTCATACAGCTAGTAAGCGTGTGAGACTGGATTTGAATTCTGGTTTTCCCGACTCCTGGTCCAGTGCTCCGTCCACTGCACCACTTAGCTGCCTCTAGTTGCAGTAAAGGTTTATATATCCCAATCTCATATAGCATCTTTTTCTTTTTTTAATTCAGTTTTATTTTCTGTTTTGAATTCTTTCCCTCCTACTTCTCCCTCCCCTCATTGAAAAATAAATCCCTTACAAATTTATGTATCAAGCAAAACAAATTCCCACATTAGCTATGTCCAAAAATATAAATGTATCTGTGTTTATGGATGTATGCATACATACATACATATATACAAATGCCTCATTCTGTATTCTAAGTCCATTACCTCTCTACCTGGTCTTAGTAGCATAGTTTATCATGAGTCTTCTGGAATTGTAATTGGTCATTGTGTTGATCAGAGTTCCGAAGTTCAGACAGCATCTTCTTAAACAGGTGTTCCTTCCTATTTTTGCTTTTCTCTTTAGCTCCTGCCTTTTTTTCAGTTGTGATGAAAATACCATCTGTGTCCTTAAGGGTTTCAGTTTCTTATTTAAGACATCATCATCCCTAGCAATACTTTCTATGCTCCTTTTGCCCATGTAATTTGTTCCCACATGAATCCATAGAATAGCAATGAAGGGTAACAAGTTTTGGGAGTCTGTGTTATTTCTCACACACATGCTTCAGGAACATAGCAATTCTTTCTATTAATGTTAGATAGACAAATAGTTGTTTCAGTACTCCTTACCACATTAATAGAATCACAGTTTCAAGATACCTCAAGTGGCCATACAAGTCAAACTCATACACAAAAGAAACCTCCACTATAAATACACAACTTGTTGTTCACCCACTGTTTGAAGACCCCTCAAGGAGAGTGAACACTACTTATTTAAACACTACTTGTCTCTTTTTACTCTGATCCTTACTCCATGACCTCTTCCCCTAATGGCACCCCAGATCTATATTATCATTCCTTGGAGTTTAAGCAGCTGCTTCCTTTTCAGAGAGTCAAAGGTCCCCTAACTCTCAGCAAAAAAGGGCCTGAGATACATTATTTAACTAAAGGTATTCAATGGTCCTTCTTCTCCTTCTCCTATTACATTCTAATAGTTGGCAGTGTTCTGACATGGGTCAAAATTCCTTTCTGCCTCTTAAAATCTCTTTACCTCTGTGTCTTAAGCTCTCCATTTTTCTATATTCTCTTTGATAGCTTAGAGAGTAGAATAACCTTCTTTCCTCTTACCTTCTTTTCTAGAAGGGTGACTTGCTTGCACTTTGAATTTAGATACCAGTTACTTGCCAATGACAGAAAGACAAACCTAGTAAACGCTATGCCACTCATAAAATTCCTCTGACCCTCCATACTTGTGTGAAATGTGATCCCTGGTCCTCAGTAATTCTTTGTTGTAATTCTTATAATCAGCTACAGTGGTAGATTGCCTGTACATCCAATCTTTTTTACTCACTAGGGGCTCCTGAGAGAGGTTTTTTTTATATCCTAAAAGAAGGAATGGTCATCACAAGAGAGGGTTAAGATATCTTCTTTGAGGACTCTAGGTTGGAGTACTGGAAGATGGAAAGAATGTGAAATAAAGCAACAGAAGAGGGAGGGAGTCTGTGAACAAAAAACCACTGATTCCAGAGGGCTTTCCCCAAGGCATAAATGCTATCTAGATCCACGATAATTAATTATACATATTTTGCTTTCATGCATCCTTAAGTACATCCCTAGAAAAATCTCTGAACCCCTGTCTGAAACAGTGAAAATTCACAACAAGCATGTGCAGCTAGGTCTTAGTGTTGGGGGGTGGCATTTATGATGGAAGAAAAGGCAATTCAGTTATAGCAATTGTCTAGTTAATAGAACCAATTCACATTACACTCCAAAAAATACTAAAGATTTAAAATAGTTGAAATAAGTAAACAGTTAGGCTCTTAGTAGATCCTTAGTGCAATCCAACAAGCATGAAGGATATAGTCCAGTATTTAATCTGGGGAAAACTATGACCCAAAATAGCAAGAGGCATGGCCCACCTCACAAATGGTTCACTATACACTAAACATAATAAAAGCTTATACTTATGGAACATGTTTAACCTCTTCCAAGCACTTTCATATCCACTACTTTATCTCCCTGAAAGCTAGAAGTAACATAATTATCCTCATTTTACAGCAGAAAGAAACTGATTCACTTAACAGCTACATCATTTCCCTAAAGTCACAGCTGATTAGCAGTTGAACCCAGGCCTGGAGGGTCCAGGTCTCTCAGGTTTGAGACTTGTGCTTTCTCACTAGACCATCCTGAGTTAGCTCCCTTTATAATCTTTCTGGATAATTGCTACCACTAAACTTCCCAGCCTGGTTTTGGGAAGGGGAATTTCCCCCAGTTGAGAAATGTTCCATTTCCAAGTTCCTAAACTTTACTAGATGTGGGTTGTCAGTCACCCCTTTGTCCTGGAAGAGGGAAAGGAATATAATGCGCAGGCAATTATATTAGGTTAGGTATACCTAGCTATGCTGTTTTCCAAGATATACAAGGTTTAAGTCTGTAACTCCTGAAGAACAACACTGGGCATAAAAGTATATGTATTCTACTATATATTTTGCAGCATATGTGCCTATAAAAATGTAAACCGTTTGAGTGCTGCAAGGACTGTGTTGTACTAAGAACTCAATAAATACTATTGAATTGAAACGTTTTATCTTTGTATTTTCAGGGTCTAACCCACAGTAGATGCTTAGTAAAAGTGTCTGATCAATTATACTTACTATATCTGCTTTTGACTTGTGAGAATCCAGTTCATTCAAAACAGGAAGCTTCAATAAAATTTAGACCAAAGAATTATTTGGCAGTTTTTATTTTTTTCCCCACACTGTTAACTCAGTACATAAGTGCTCAACATATTTGATCCTTAACATTGAGGCTTTGGTTCCTAAAATTACAATTTAATTACTGGTAATTTCTACTTTATCATGACATTTTTAATGTGGTATCAGAAAAGAATAGTGGTATAATAGAAGGTTAGAGCTGGAAGGGGAGGGGTCTTGTGACAATAGATCCAGTGCTCTTTTCAGTATGTCTGGATATCACGTCAGCAACTTCTGTCCCTTACAACAATAATATTTTAAATTACATTATAACTTAGAACTTTTGGAAATACCTTGAAAGTGAAAATATTTTGAAATTTACCCTGCCAATTTAAGCTACGGTTACATATTTTGCTAACAACTTATTTCCCCCTCCCTTCACTTCTTGTTTTCTTTGCCTTTGCTCTAAATAGGGGCCGTCCAAGCTTCCAGGTACCCTTCTACTCCACAGCCATTTAGTTCGCATAAGCCACACAATCTATTTTTCTGTGCTCATGGTTTTCATGCAGCTCTTCTTGCTGGGGGTTAAAGGTTAGCGGCTCTGCCCAACAACACAACTTTGTTTTTTGAGGCAAATTTGCCCCTCCCCACCCCCATCTGCCCTCCTTTATAACCGAGGCAGCCAGAGAATTTGATTATACCTGTCCCCGCCCACTCCCCCCTTTCCTAAGTGTCTCAATCCTCAGAAATACTCCCTCCCTCCACACCCCCACACCCACGCTCCCATCCTCCATCACCCATCCCTCCCACCAGCCCAGCCCCGTCCTCCTCCATCATTTCAGGAGGAAAGTCTTACCATTTCCTTTAATCTCTTTAGCAAACGCGGTTTCCGCTACGCTAAATAAAGCCAACTGTGCGCGGGCGGGGAGGCGGCCGAAAGTGCCTCACCCGCTACAGCGCTAACAGCCCCGTCACTCCCCAGATTAGAGCGGAAGAGCTAACGCAAGGTAGGTCCGGCCCTCGAGATCAATCAGAGTAAAGTAGATACAATCTGCGCCTGGGAAGTCCCCGAACCCGTTTCCATAACAACGAGCTCATGCTCCTCTTTTAGCGCTAAGGCCCGGATGTTGTGATCGCACAGCTGACACCCTGGGCGAGCAGCTGCTTCCTGATGTCGCCCAACGGCGAGGTCGCATTGCCCTATGGGAATCGTAGTTCTCCGGCTCCACCTTCCCTCAAAGACAGGGGTAAAGAGGGACTACACGTCCCAGCATGCCCTTCGGTGCCACCGCCGGTCGTCTTCGTCGCCTCAGCAGCAGGAGCCTGTGAAGCAGGTTGTTGTTTTTATGAGAGGCGTCACTGGGGACCTGAGCCTCGAATCGTCGCCAGCACGACTGCCAGCGCGGGCTTCGGGAGGTGGCTCTGGCCACTTTCAGGTACGAGTCGCGTCACGTTTGGGTTCTGCCGGAGGCTCCCGGTACTGCTTCTGCCTGAGGCAGGCACCCTCCCCAGCGCCCGGGGTCGGCTCGGGCTGCAGCCCCGGCTCGCCCAGGGGCTGCGGGGCTTGGGTCCGGGGCTTCTCCGGGCTGTGCGCATCGATGTGTGCCAACTCTTCGGGTGTCTCTTGATCCCTCTGGGGGCGTGTGGCTTGAGCTTATGGAGAGAGGAAAGGGGTTTCAGCCAGGTTTCCTTCCGCAGGCTGGAACGAAGTCTGTGGGATCCATATGGAGCGGAGTCCAACGCTCCACCAACCCCGCGGGTCGTGCAGATCGAATTTGCTTTGTGAAGCTTGTTTTTTCTATTCCCTGCACCGTGTAATAACGATCGAATTTAGTGTGGAATGGGGGCTGCCGCTTCCATCCGGACCTGAGGGCTCACATCGGAACCGACGGGGAAGGAGGGGGTGGGAGGGTCGCTCGTTGCCTTGGTTTCAGTCAGTCCAGCCATTTATCTATTGAGCCTCTAGCCCTGCCCGAGCTCTGAGGGATGTTCAGGACCCGAGGGGTAGGGAGCTCGCCTTGGGCTGCATTCCCACCCTCTTTGCCCTTGTACCAGCCCGGTACATCATCACCCCAAGTTGGGTTTCTCCCTTGAAGCAATCAAACTCAAGCATTTATTAAGTTCCTGCTATGTGCTCTTCACGGCTCTAGGCTCTGGGGATACAAATACGAAAGTGGAGACTGTCTGTGCTTTCGAAGTGCTTATTTTCTCCTAGGAGAATACCTGGGCTGTGATAAGTAATAACAGAGTATTTGCAACATAAATACAAGGTGAGTGGGGGAGGGGAAGTAACGCCTTAGAGAAGCCAAGAAAGGCCTCCTCAAGGAGGCAGCCCTTGAACTGAGTCTGGGGGAGGGAGGAAGGGGTGTCAAGAGTCAGAAGTGAGGAGAGGAGAGCATTCTAGGCAGGACAGGTTAGTTAGCCTGTGCAAAACCAAAGAAGCCGGAAATGTGGTGTACAGCAAACTGCAAGTAGAATGTTGGGCCAGAAGTGAGCATAAAAGTGTTATCACCTTGGAAAAATTGGTTGGATCCAGATTGTGAAGGGTATTTCACAGTCTGGCTCCAGCCTTCATTTCCAAGTCAGCAAGTCAGCAAGCATTTATTAAGTGCCAGGCACCATGCGCAGAGGATGAAAAAAAAGGTGCAAATAGACCCTGCTGTCAAGAATCTCACAGAGGACTTTGTATCCTAGAGGTAATGGGGAGTCACTGATACTTATTAAAATGGGAGTCACTGATACTTATTAAAATGGGAAATGACATGACATGATCAAGCCTGCACTTCAGGAATATAAATTTGGCAGCTTTGTGATGGATGGATGGATTGAAGAAGGAAGAGACTTGAGACAAGGACACCACCAATTAGGAGGCTATTGCAATAGTTCAGAGAGAGGAAGTAAAGGGTCTGAATTAAGGTGTTGTGGTATGTGAGTAGACAGTAGGCACTGTGCTAACATCAGTGGGTTTTGGGTGATACTCAAGTAGTGAACCTGGGTAATGGGAAGTTGGGTGGGGCCCTCAACAGAAATAAGGAAGTTTGGAGGAAGAGATGAGAAGAAAACAGCAAGTTATGTTTTGGACATGCCTAATTTGAGAAGTCTGTGGGACGTCCAGGTATGCTACCGTGCCTGGCAAGACCATTAAATTTAACAGTCTAGAGAGATTTGTTAACTTGGAGAATCCTATCCCCATTTATCTAGTGGGGAAAGTAAACCAGATTGTAAGGGGTTGCAGTCAGTAGAAAGTGAAAAAGTGGAGGCACTCAGTGTAGACAGCTTTTTCTTGGAGTTTGGCTATGAAGGAAGAAACATAGAGGATGATGCTTGTTACCTATATGACCTTGGGCAAGTCAGTTTAACCTTCTTAGGCCTCCAGATGTAGATCTATGATGATTCTATGTCCATAGACTTTCCTGAATCCCCTCGATAGAACTAATTGCTTCTCTGCCTCCTGGCTTCAAGCCTTTCCCAACCACTCTTTGATTCTAGTGTCTTCTCTTTGTGAATTATTTCCTATTTATCCTGAATGTAGCTTGTTTGTAAATATTTGTTTGCTTGTTCTCTCCTGTATTAAATTGTGAGCTCCTTGAGGTCAGGGACTGCCTTGTCTATTTTTGTATCCCTGGTGTTAGCACAGTGCCTAGCACAGGGGTGGGGAACCTGCGGCCTCAAGGACACATGTGGCCCTCTAGGTCCTCAAGTGCGGCCCTTTGACCGTATCCGAACAGCAGAACAAATCCCCTTAATAAAAGGATTTGTTCTGTAAAACTTGGGCTCAGTCAAAGGGCGGAACTTGAGGACCTAGAGGGCCACATGTGTCCTTGAGGTCGCAGGTTCCCCACCCCCTAGCCTAGCATATAATAGGTGCTTAATAAATGTTTATTGGATGACTGACTTTGTTTCCTAGTCTATTAGATCTAGACATAGAAGGGATTTTGAAAGGCCATCTAGAACTTGTCTCTTATTTTACACCTGAGAAAACTGATCAACCCAAAGAGGTTAAGTGACTTGTCCTAAGTAAGTAGAACTGGAATTTGAACTCAGGTTTGAGTGAGTTCATTAATGGCTATCCTTTGTATGTATAACTCCCCTATTGCACTTTTACAAAATACCTTTTATCAGAGATGTGCACTCATCATATTTCTTCCCCTAAACTTAGGGCTTTTTGAGGTTGATGACCATATTCTTTCATCTTTCATTTATGCATCTTTTCTCTTACTGCACCTAGCACACTGAAAGCATTCAATATTTGTTGGATGAGTAGATATATTTTATTAAGTAGGAGAAACTTTTGATGCTAGACTAGGTAAGAACCAGACCAAATAGTCTTTTAGGCACCCTAGACAACTGCCTATATATAGTACAAATTCAGGGGACTTGGGGAAGCCCCACCAGGCCCTCAAAAGTCTCTTGAGTGTTAGTTTGTGAGGAAAGGTTTTTATGTAAATGTTAGCTATTGTGGGAGTTTAACTCAGATTTCCTACGGAAGACTCTGAGAGTGCTAAGTATCACTTTAAGGTTTCACAAAACGACTTTTGTACTTTCTTACCTCATTATTCCATTCACCCAGGTTTGCATCCTTAATTCCTCATACATTCTCTCTCTGTCTCTCCCTCTCTCTCTCTGTCCCTCTCTCTCCCTCCCTCCCTCTCTCCTCCCTTATCCAATCTGTTGTCCTGTTCTGTTGATTCTACCTTCACAACATCTCTCATAAATGTCCCCTTCTCTGTCCAGACACTAGTACCACCTGGGTGCAAGGTCTCATAAACTTATGGCCAGACTGTTCCACTCACCCTGAGAGTTGGCCAACCTGTTTCAATTCTCTCCCCACTCCAATCCATTGCTACATTCAACTGTCAAAGTGATTTTCCTAAATTTCAGGTCTGACCATGTCACTAACCTATTCAATAAATTCCACTGGTTCCCTGTTGTCTCTGGGATCAAAAGTAAAATCTAGTGTTTGGCCTTTAAAGCCCTTTGTTCATTTTTGGCGTTACAGTTTATTCTTCTTACCATTCTATGTAAGCCAGTGACACTCCATCTCTCAACTCCATGCATCTTCACTGACTGTCTCATGTTGGAAATTCTCTCCCTCCTCCTCTTCTTTTTCTGGTTTCCCCAGCTGCCAGTTGCAGTGAAAAATCCCATCTTCTGCCTGAAACCTTTCCTGATTCCCTTTGAGATAACCCCAACTTTTTCCTGAACTTATCTTATTTGTACATAATTGTTTGCATGTTGTTTCCCTCTTTAGGAAGTGAATTTCTTTTTACTTTTTTAAGTATCACAGAGCCTGGCACACAAATGCTTGTTGAATGATTGATCTTTTTCTTTTATTAGGGTGGCATAGAGGAAGGACTAGGAAGATTGAAGACTTGGACATTCTTTTCTCCAAAATTTGCTTAGGGCTAGTCCTACCTTGAATCTCTTTGGCAACAAATTTTAGGAACCTCTTCAAAAAATTTAAAAACCTCTGCTCTGGCACTTTGCCTGTATCCTTGGGGATACAAAGGCAAAACAAAACAATCCCTGCCCTCTAGGAGTTTACTTTCTTTTGGGGTAAACTACTTAAAAATACAAAGTAAATTTAAAGTACTTCTGGTTCTTAGTGGTTGGGAGGTACTGGAAGCTGAGGTGGGAAGGAAGGTAGGGGGATGAGGGCCTTGTAGGATCCAGAGAAGTTTCCAGTAGGTTATATTTATCTGAGCTTTGAAGCTGGCTAGGGATTTTTAGAGACTGAGGTGAGGTGGGAATATATTCCTGTCATGGAGGACAATCTGTTCAAAGGGATGGGGATAGAAGATGGAATGGCATGTGTGACAGACAGCAATAGTCTTTGGGTGGAATGTAGTGTGCAGGAAGGGGAATGACATACAATAAATCTGGGACTTTAAAAGTCAGAATACTATATCCCTTGGCCAAGAGGTACGAGAGAGCCAGTGGAGCTTTTTGAATAGGAAAGTGACATGACCAGAGCTACAATTTAGGATTATCACTTTTGATAGCTGATGAGTTGCCCCATCCTGGCCAAGGCTAACCCCCTCAATTTATCTCTTGATCCCCTTTCCTTGTTGATTTCATTCCATTATTCATTTATTTTTCCATCTCTCTCATCGTTCCACACTCAGCCTTATCCTCCTCCCTCCCCACCAAAAAAACGATCTTCATATCTCATTGATTCAGAACTAGAAAGGACCTTAACCTCATTTCACAGATGAGGAAACTGAGACCCAGGGAAGTTAAGTGACTTGCCCAGGGTCACAGTCAGCAATTGGCAAAGCTGGGGATTTGAACCCAGGTCCTTAATGTTCTTTCCACTGGTGATAGTCTAGGAGAGAAGTAATGAGAGTAGATGCTGTATTAGTTGAGAGAAAGGACTGACTAGAAAAGATGGCTGAGGGAGAGGGACAGGCAGCCTAGGGTGGTGGAAAAAGCAGTC